CGTACACGCGCGGCAATCGCGCCTTACACAGGCCGAAACAGGCCCCTCAGGAAAAATAAAAGTAAACAACGAAAAAATAACATAAAAGAAAAACTAAGTACACAAGATGCAACAAAAGCTTCACTCTGCATCATCTCCCCCGTCGTTCGCCCCAACTCCATCATCATCATCAGAAGGGAGCTCACCCTCGATATCCGTGTCCTCCCCGGCTTTCGGAGTCGCAGGGTCGTACCCACAGGCAGTACGAGCCTCGTGCGCCTTTGCCCGAGCATCTTCAAAGGTGGCCTCTGGGACAGTCCCCGCCTCCCACAGACCCTTGTAAATGTCTCGCTGGGCCTCAACATGGACCCATAACTCATACAGGCGGCATGGGACCGCGGTAGAGGCGGACTCGATCTGGGCCAACAACTGTTCCTTCTCGGCTTCGAGTGCCACAACCCGGTCTCCTAGGCTCGAAGCCTCCCGGTTGATTTCACCAATACCTCCTCAAGCCGCGCCTCCCCCAGCATGGTCGTAGCCCTCTCAGATTCCTGCTCAGACTGAAGGACGCGGATGGTATCCTCCAACGCCGCCGCCCTTGCCAAGGCCGATGACCGAGCCTCCTCGGCACTCTCCATTTTGGCCACTTTCTTTTCCAGCTCGGCTAACTTCTCCATCCACTTTGCACTCAAAGCTTCAACTCTGGTGGCATTCTGCTCGAGTTCGGCCTGCAAAGACAATACCTTCGCCTGAAGGTCCCCGCACTCTGCAGCAACCGCCTTGCCCACCTCAAGTTTCTCATCTTTGGCACTGAGCAGCTCCTCAAGCTCACTGCATATTTGGATAGACTGCATCAGCTCCTGATCCCTTTTCTCCAACTCTTCCCCGATGGATTGGGCACCAGTACCCACCCTGAGCCGCTCGTGCATCTCGCGGCATCTGTTGCGATACCGCCAATACTTCTCAAGTATCTTCAGGAAAATCACGGCCCGAGTCTCGGCCCTACGAGCACTCTCGATCTCCAGCATATACGACTAAACAAAGAGAAGAAATAAGTCGGTAAAGATCGAGATCACAAAGCAAAAATAATAATATCACCAACTTAGGGAACTTACCCTTAGACCCATCGCGGCCACGCCGTGTGATAATTCAGCGTCATTGACATCCTAAAGAGCTCTATTTTCTACGGCAGAGCGTAGGAGGTCAAATTGCGGCACAAAATCCCCCGTGTCCCGCAGGAGATTGAGGTCCGACGGAATTTCCAATATTCGGGAGGGACCTCCCGCTCTCACCACGATTCGGGTAAATCCCTCCTCAAGCATCCTAACGTCATCAGGATCGATGTCGGATTCAAACTCGTAGTCATCAACCATAACGCCCTTTCCCCTCTCTTCGGCCGACGAAGAAGTACGGTTCGATCGGGATGTCGAAGGGCCGCCAGAAATAGCAATGGTAGCCTCGGGACTCCGTCCCTCTGCCGCCCCAACCTGTTGATTGCTTATAACGGGCGTAGCCTCTGCGGCCGGGTTGGCATCATCGCCAGTTCTAGGCACCACCAAGGAAGGATCGCCCCTCGCAGATGTATCGTCCTGAGGAGTCACTTCCAACACCACCCGTCGCCTCTTCGACGGGGCCTTCCCACTACCGGTGCGGGAAGATTCGCCCGTTGAACGGACAGTAGGAACCGGAGTCTCTGGCTGAGGAGTGGATTCTGCATGAACGGTTTCGGTCGCCGGCGTGGGTTGGATAGCAGCTTTCGGCGCATGCCGGGCAGCGGTTCTCGACGTAGGTTGGGCAAGGGGCGCCGGCTGACGGAATGCGAGCGGAGGATCCCTCGTCCTCCATACCCTCCCTGTCAATAAAGAAAAACGATCATATAACGACAAGACTAAACCGTAAGACAAAGAATAAAGGGAAAGACTGCGGTGGGCCGAATCACCAGTGAGAGGCTTACGCCCATATTTCTCGTGGAAGGATGACCACTCACGAATCCCCATTGTATGGGGGAGAATTGCGCTCACCCACTCGCGAATATCGTCAACTAGCGGGGGAGGTAGTCTCTCGGCTGCAAAAACGAAAGCAAGTCCTTAACAGTATCACCTAAAGCAGAACGATCCACGACCGCCGTAAGAGGAATCACAAAAATAGGCAAAGGAAAACTTACGAGTGAAGTTCCACGTCTCTGGAAACCCCGCTGAGTCCGCCACAAGGTGCTCTGTCCGCACGTAGAAGTAGCTTCCCAGAAGCGGCGATTAGCCTTATCGTCCATTTTCACCACCAAACTCTTGGTTCCTCGGTGGCGCATATGTATCATTGTACCCCGAAGAAAATGAGGGGTGAAGATGTGAAGCATGTGCCCCAAAGAAATTTCTCGTCCGGCAAGCTCCGCGTACTTGATAAGCATGAGAAAAAGTTTGTACGTGTACGGAGAGAGTTGGGCCGGGCACACTTCGTAGAAGCGGCAGAATTCTACCACCAGAGAAGGGAGAGGAAGCGTATACCCGATAACAAAAGGGTACGCGTAAAATGCACAGTACCCCGGACGGTGCAAATGTACGATGTCCTTCCCCGTCGCCGGTACCATTTTCACATGAATGGGGATTCCCCACTTGGCCTTGAGCGACGTAATAGCCGCTTCATCCATGGTGGAAGGGACAGGTTCCAGTTCATTTCCGGTGGCGCTGTTAAAATCAGTCCTTAGTTTCCCCGGACGGGGTAGAATCTCATCCACTGTCGAAAATCCCTCGTCCTCCGTCACCTCAACTTCCTCTTCAAGAAGGGGTACGTCATTTTCCGGCACCGGAGTTTCGACGAATCTAGTAGTCTGGGAAGAAGTACCAGCTATTTGCCTGTCTAGACCAAAACGAACAATAGCAAGGAAGGGAAAGATGAGGATGGTCACACTGGATTCTGACGAAAGCAGAAAGATGAAATACTAAAGAAGGTGGAAGTTTGTAAAATTCTCTCAAGAAAATTGAAAATCATGACAATCGAATGGTGGGTTCCCCTATTTATAGAGACGCGGATGCCCTGGGTGGGAAATCCGAGAGCCGCCAATCGAAAAACTAAAAGGGCACGAGAAGCGATAGTGCCTGGGAAACGTGCGCCATAATGACGCATAACGGGCATTCATGGTACCCTGAATCGACGTGACGGTCCATCTCTGAACTGACGTAACGCTCTAGTAACATCCTTGAAACATCGCGTTGCCACCTCGCCATAAGGACCACATCCTCACACAATGTCCAGATTTCTCCTCTTGAGTCGATAGAATCCGCCCATTGAGCCCGCCAAAAGGCCCAACGGGTGGAGGGACTAATTGTATGGGTCAAAATCTGACCAAATGATTATCGATAGGAATGGTAAGAAGTCGACCCAGCCATGGTCGTACCCACGAGGCGCAATGGCGACGAGTATCACAGCCGTGGCCGATATAGGGTTATCAGAAGGCTCACATTGCGGAACGTAACATTGGGGTGAGTGAGGAAGGGTGCAGTCATGAGGAGGCACGCTGGTTAAGAACCATTGAGTAAAAGGAGAAATAGACAGTATATAAAAAGGAAAAGGCAGAAGAAGAAAGGGGGCAAGAGAAAACTCCTGAGAGAAAAAGGAAGAAATCCAGATTTCTGGTCATAGATCTTGGCATCCCCCATCGATGAATCAATAATGTTGAATCCTGTAGTTATCAATGAGATTCCTCCCTTATCTTCTTTGCTTATACAGATACGGAAGAATATATCAAAAATAATCCTGTAGTTATCAACGAGATTCCTCCCTTATCTTCTTTGCTTATACAAATACGGAAGAATATATCAAAGATGTAAGGTTGTTTTATATTATGCATCTTGAAATCTTTCTTAAGAACATTGTATAAACTTGGTCCTTTTGATTTTAGTTCTCATCATGTCTAAATCTAAAGTTGATTATATTTAGCTAATATTTATCTTCTGTCTCATTATCAATTGATTTTATCAAAGAGTTTAACACTTTTTGGTCAAACACTGTCCAAATTTGAATGTCATTTGATCAAATATGAAGATTTTTACTGTAGAATTGTATAATGATGAATGTCCAATAACAATTACATTATCCATGTAGCATTTATATTAGACTCTCAGAGTTTACAAAGTCAAACATTAAACAAATGAGAGAAAAAGCTTTCAAGTATAGCAAATAATGAGTTTTACCGTCATGTAGCTTTCAACTCCTTCAGAAAATAATGAGAACTGAACCAAAGTAGATGCAGCGATACTGTTAGTTCATAAGATTGCAGATCCCCCATTCTTCATTAAAGCATTTGCATTCAAAGCCATACTTGTTATGCACCCATGCCGGTGGATACCCAACTCTTTTTTCATTGTCCCTCCCATCAAATTATTACTTTTAATATATACTTGTTTTTTTTTAATTTATTTGTTTGTTTTTTTAACTTCTATTATTTTGGCTACCAAAGCTTAGCTGCTTGCGCACATGTCATCCTAATTTAGGTTAAATGCCAATCTTAAAGATGGTATACTTAACATAATAATAAATTGATAACACCTACAGTGGAAAAGCAATGTTGTTTTCCTAATATCTTTATAACAAAAAAAAATTCCCAACCAGATAAAGAACAAGAAAGAAAATGTACTACTCTTTATAAATGCTTTTTGTCATACTCATGTAAAATTCTTCAATAGAAGTCGGTTATGAAATTGAAGAGATAGGTAACTGCTCGGTAATTCACAACTTAAGAGCATGGGGGTAAGATGAGCTATAACTATATTGTCAAAATTCTCTTTTATTTATATTAGAAAATTGAACTACTTTCAAACCGCCTGAAATGATAGTAACTTCTAAACTTTTGGGTAAAGCCCACCAATCGCCCCTTTTGTCAATAATGGTTTTCTCCACTTGTTCCCTTGGTGGCTCGAACTCTTGGTTTGAAGTTGAGCGCTCTACACTCACCATGTTTTGTCGCATGGCATTTCATTCTAAAATTCATGCATAATTGTAAAGGAGACGCCTTATCAGAAGCCATGTGCATCAAATTTTCGCACAACGAATTAAATCTGAAATAAAGGTTCTATTGATCATACAACTTTATCTTTACACAAAAGCTATACGTTCTCATACATATATGATCCTATGTTTCTTAATTCTAACTGAACTGCATCCAATACGTATCAATCAACGTTTTCTACCTTCTACAACCTGTTGTAGGCGTGAAAGTTACAGATCCCATGTATACATCGTACCTTTGCTAGCGCATTCGTTTGAAACTTCGATCTATGTAACTCAATAGTGTTTTGCCCGAGCATTAGCAACTGTTGCTATTTGAATAGCTGATTAGCCTACATAGCCATTGTCACTGGAAAGAGCTTGTCGAGAAAGGTATAGACACCCCCACCTAATAGTAGCGCACCACTGCAAAATAAATGATTAAGCAGGCAAATATCTGGCTGAGTACTTGAAGAATGTGATTAAGATGGTATTAGAGAAGAAGTGACTGAAGTGGAAGATATTTAAGCTATCTCCGAATAACTGTGCCATTAATTTCACAAACAATTTACCTGACTGGATTGATCCATGCTGAGAACTTGCGGAATGAAAGTATACTCTGCAAATGACATGCAGTTGGTCAGTACTTAAATGGTGATAAAAGATTATAATGAACATATGCAAGCAGCAACTCAAGCAGGCAAGAGTAATCTTAAGAAACATGATAGAAGACAAGGAAGCAGGATGAGTGGCGTCGAAGTGGAGGAAGAATTCTTAAAACAATGTCCTCAAATGCAGAGCTCCATAATGTGGATGCTGCAACATGAGGTCCTTGGACCATCTAAAAGCTGCTCGCCACAATAACAATTATATGGACCATATGGAATACCTGCAATGCTCCAGCAAAAGAGGCAGCAAGAAGTAAGGGAGTAACGTAGCCAGTTGTGTATGTCAATAGCAAGCTGCCCCCAATAATTGGATCCTGTTATAGAAGATTATTAAGAAGCTAATTACATTCCTAATAACCAAAATAAATAACATGCAAAGACAGTGTGCAATTCTAATGGTCAACGCCAGGTGCTGAAGTATTTGATTCAAGGCATGCATTATAGAATACTTCTATATGAAAGAAATCCTGATGACATAACTCTAATTCTCTCAAAGATTAAGCAAAATGACCAAGATGGTGGTCATACGCTTGTGCTTTTTGTGTCACTTTTTTTGGAAGGCCCCTTTCCAAAGAAAGAAAGGAAGCAAACATAAGATAACCATCATTTCATCATCCTGAGAACCAAAATGTCAAAATTTGTAGTACCCGAGAAGTAGCAACATAGCCGAGCAAGGTTGCTAGTACTGGTGTACTGCATGGTGATGCAGCTAAGGCAAATGTAAGACCAGCCAAATAAGCTTGAACACCTAGACAATCAAATGTATAAAATGTCAAACTATAATATCTAGCTTACCGCAAGCATTACTGAGATTATGTCCAAACAAGAATGAAGGGTAAAAGTTATAGCCCATTACTTGAAGGAAAGCTAGCAGCTGCTGAGCGAGGATCAAAATTGTCGAAAAATGAGGGAAGTTGTACCTCTATTACCTGCAGCATTGATATAGAAGGAAGACTATAAGTAAATGCATATAAGCACGGAACCAAAAACGCAAACTGAAAACTAGAAAATAATGCTTCTTTTGTACCGTTTATATTTGCAATAGTTTTCATAAAGCTCGATGATAAATTCATTCAGTTATTGCTACTAGTTAGAGGTTGTGAGAAAGCACGGGAGAAAATATATTATTGATGTATTGACATATGTTACAATGAGCCCTATATATATACACACATAACATGTCCTACTCCTAATATATATTGGATTAGGGTTATTTATTTACTCCTATTTACATGACTATTCTAACACTCCCCCTCAAGCTGGTGCATATAAATCATATGTACCGAGCTTGTTACATATGTAGTTAATACGAGGACCAGTGAGGGACTTGGTGAAAATATCTGCAAGCTGATCATTCGACTTCACAAACTTTGTAGCAATATCTCCCGAGAGTATCTTTTCTCTAACAAAGTGACAGTCAATCTCAATGTGTTTAGTTCTCTCATGGAACACTGGATTTGACGCAATATGAAGAGCAGCTTGATTATCACACACAAGTCCCATCTGACTAATCTCACCAAATTTCAACTCCTTGAGCAACTGTTTGATCCAAATTAGCTCACATGTCGCCATAGCCATCGCTCGATATTCTGCTTCTGCACTAGACCGAGCAACCACATTCTGTTTCTTGCTCTTCCAGGACACCAAATTTCCTCCTACCAAGACACAATATCCAGACGTAGAACGTCTATCAGAAGGTGATCCTGCCCAATCAGCATCTGAGTATCCAACGATCTGCTCATGGCCTCGACCCTCAAACAATAAACCTTTGCCTGGAGCTGATTTTATATACCGAAGAATGCGAACAACTGCATCCCAATGACTATCACACGGAGAATCCATAAACTGACTCACAACACTCACAGAAAAGGAAATGTAAGGTCTTGTTACTGTAAGGTAATTTAATTTACCAACCAACCGTCTGTATCTTGCAGGATCGCTAAGAGGCTCCCCCTGTCCTGGCAGAAGTTTAGAATTCGGATCCATCGGAGTGTTAACAGGTCTACAACCTGTCATTCCTATCTCCTCAAGAATATCTAAGGCATACTTTCGTTGTGAGATCACAATACCTGAGCTAGACTGAGCGACCTCAATACCCAGAAAATACTTTAATTTTCCCAGATCCTTAGTCTGAAAGTGTTGAAAGAGATGTTGCTTCAATTTAGTAATACCATCCTGGTCATTGCCGGTAATAACAATGTCGTCAACATAGACCACCAGATAAATACAGAGACTCGAAGCAGAGTGCCGATAGAATACAGAGTGATCAGCTTCACTCCGAACCATGCCAAATTCCTGGATAACTGCGTTGAACTTACCAAACCAGGCTCGAGGAGACTGCTTTAGACCATAAAGTGACCGGCGCAAGTGACATACAAGGCCACGAGACTCCCCCTGAGCAACAAACCCAGGTGGTTGCTCCATATAAACTTCATCCTCAAGGTCACCGTGTAAAAAAGCATTCTTAATGTCCAGCTGATAGAAGGGCCAATGGCGAACAGCAGCCATGGATAGAAAAAGGCGGACTGATGCTATCTTAGCCACAGGAGAGAAGGTATCACTGTAATCGAGCCCAAATATCTGAGTATATCCTTTGGCAACAAGACGAGCCTTAAGACGATCAACCTTACCATCCGGACCAACCTTGACTGCATACACCCAACGACAACCAACAGTAGATTTACCTGAAGGAAGAGGGACGAGCTCCCAAGTACCACTCGTATGTAAAACAGACATCTCGTCAATCATAGCCTGTCGCCATCCTGGATGAGACAATGCTTCACCTGTAGTCTTAGGGATGGAAACAGAGGACAAAGAAGATAGAAAGGCATAATAGGGTGATGACAAACGATGATAACTCAAACCGACATAATGGGGATTAGGATTAAGGGTGGCCCGTATACCTTTCCGAAGTGCAATCGGTTGATTAAGAGGAGACAAGTCCGCAGTATTAGCAAGGTCAGGTGCAGGACGTGAATCAGCTGGACCTGATGCTGGGCGCGGACGACGATGATATGTCAAAAGTGGTGTTCCTGTGGCAGAGGAGCACTAGACTCCTCAACGGCTGGAATGGATAAGACTTCTATAGCGGAAGGTGAAGGAGGAGCTATAGGAGACTCGGGTAAGACTTCTGTGGCGGAAGGTGAAGGAGGAGCTATAGTAGACTCCTTAAAGGTCGGTATAGGTAAGACCTCAGATATATCAAGGGGGTCAGAAAGGTCAGAAGAGGTAAAGAAAGGTTTAGACTCAAAAAATGTGACGTCAGAGGACATAAAGTACCTACGAAGATCAAGTGAGTAACAACGATATCCCTTCTGAACGAGAATAACCAAGGAAGACACACTTGAGAGCACGAGGAGCTAACTTATCTTTCCCAGGGGCTAGGTTATGAATGAAACAAGTGCTCCCAAAAACACGAGGGGGAACAGAGTATACGGGTGATTGGGGAAACAATACTGCATACGGTATCTGATTCTGGATGGGAGAGGAAGGCATCCGATTAACTAAATAACAAGCTGTGAGAACTGCATCGCCCCAAAAACGCAGCGGAACATGAGATTCAATGAGAAGTGTGCGAGCAGTCTCAATGATGTGCCTATTCTTTCTCTCTGCAACCCCATTTTGATGAGGGGTATAAGGACAAGAAGTCTGATGAATAATTCCTTGAGAAGTCATAAACTGCTGAAATTGAGAGGATAAATATTCTAAGGCATTATCACGGCGAAAAGTGCGAATGGAAACACCAAATTGATTTTTAATTTCAGCACAAAAATTCTGGAATATAGAAAACAACTCAGAACGATCTTTCATTAAGAAAAGCCAAGTACATCTTGAATGATCATCAATAAAACTAACAAAATAACGAAATCCCAAGGTTGAACTGACTCTACTAGGACCCCATATATCAGAGTGAACTAAAGAAAAATAGACTCTGCGTGACTCTCAATACTACGAGGATAGGAGGCTCGGGTATGTTTCCCGAGCTGACATGACTCACACTCTAATGTGGATAAACTAGACAAACCAGGCACCATCTTCTGAAGCTTGGATAAGCTTGGATGTCCTAAACGTCTGTGAATTAGGTCCGGAGGATTTGTAACTAGACATGCCTTGGAGGATTTTAGGGAGTTAAGGTAGTAAAGCCCTTCTGATTCAAGTCCTGTTCCAATCGTCTGCCCTGTACTGCGGTCCTGCATAATAAAAGAATCATCAATAAAATATATACCACAATGGAGGGCACGAGTCAAACGACTAACAGATGCAAGATTAAAAGGACAGCCAGGAACATAGAGAACGGAATCTAGAGTGACAGAGGGTAGGGGATTCGCTTGTCCAACTCCTTTTGCTTTGGTTTGAGACCCATTGGCTAAAGTAACAGTGGGAAGAGACTGTGAATACGCAATATTTGACAAAAGTGATTTATTACCAGAGATATGATCAGAAGCGACTGAGTCCACAACCCATTGTCCAGGAGGACTAGACTGGGAAACACAAGCAAAAGAATTACCAGCAACAGAAGTATTAGTCTGAGCAACAGAAGCTACTTGTGGAGATGTCTGCTTACTTGCTCGATACTGAAGGAACTCATTATACTCCCCTTCAGATAAAGAAAATCCCTGGTTACCTGTAGTCTCAGTCTGAGCAACATAAGCATTTTTGGTTGGACGACCATGTAAAGATAGCATACATCACGAGTGTGTCCAAGTTTATGACAATAAGAGCACTTGGGTCTAGATCTTCCATAACGACCTCCTCCTCGTCTATTCTCCATAGTATGAGATGCCCGATTGTCCACTGATTGGGATACGAGGACAGATGAGTCAAGTGTCTGTGATGAGCTCACTGGGTGACTAGGTGCTGCAGCAAGGCGAAGTAATCGAGAGAATAATTCATCAACTGTGGGGACGGTTGGACTAGCCAAAATCTGGTCACGTACTGAATCAAGGTCATTAGGGAGTCCAGCGAGTGTAAGAACTAGAAACATCTTCTGTCGTTGCTCTTGTTGTTTTTCAATACTAGCAGAAACTGGCATCAATGTCTCAAATTCTTCCATGACTGCCTGAACTTGTCCCAAATACGTAGACATATCTAATTCCTGTTTCTTCAAGCTTGTCATTCGCGATATTACATCATAGAAACGAGATATGTCATTAGTGTATAGATTACGAGCCTTTTCCCAAACTAAATAACATGTCTGGAATGGACAGAACAAGGGCATCAACTTGGAATCAATAGATCGCCACAAGATACTACATAACTGAGTATCGACCTTCTCCCACTGTGTTTTGGCCTTTTCATCACCTTCGCTAGCCTTTTTTGTTAAATGATCTTGAACTCCTTGACCTTTACACCACAACTCGACAGATGAAGCCCAATCTAAGTAGTTTGAACCTCCCATTAAAGGTTCTGAGGTAATCATAACACCGGAACTGCCAGAACCCGGGTTTCTAGACCCGAAAGCATCGACTCCCAAAGACACGGTTGGATTATCACCAAATAACAAAAAGAATCAATTGAAAATTCTCTGAAACAGATGAAGAAAACACTGTGTTTGCCGGAAAAGTACTGTAGCTGCCGGAAAAATCAGTGTAGTCGCCGGAAAAACTCAAAGTGGTCGGAATTAAAAAATAAAAATATGGACAGGCTCGGAATTGCAGGGTGATCCAACTGTCCTGAAGGAGTGAAGCCGAAATCTGACAGGAAGGGGTCTCACGCGCCGGCGCGTGGGACAGACGCGCCGCCGGAAACAGTGCTCCGACAGGCGCGTGACGGCACGTGGGTGACTGTTTTTCGGTGATTTTTTCTGGGGTTTGGTCGGATCTCTCTTGGGAACCTTGTGGTGGTGTTGGATTTTGCACAACACTGTTAATTAGTGACTTTGACGCAATAAGTCACTTAGGTCACCGGAAAATTGCACGGTGACTGAGTTCTTTCTTCCCGGATATCGCTGGAATGACGCACAACGATAAATTTCTCACCGTAGCTCTGATACCATGTGAGAAAGCACGGGAGAAAATATATTATTGATGTATTGACATATGTTACAATGAGCCCTATATATATACACACATAACATGTCCTACTCCTAATATATATTGGATTAGGGTTATTTATTTACTCCTATTTACATGACTATTCTAACAGAGGTTAAAACATAAAACATGCTAATATAAAGCTCCCCCAAATTCTAGTGAATTGACTTGCCCTTTTGATTATGGAGGGAAGAGTATGAACATGTTAATTGCTGGCACGAAACTTAATTATGAACTTCAGTAGGAACATATACGTCATAAGGGTCAGAAAGATAGTCTCAAGACTAGGACTAATTCCAAACCAATCATTAATATGACTTGTACTTATATTCACATGTTTTGAGACTAAGAAACCTCTAAACAGTAAAAGCATAATTTTGGCTAAATCCAAAAACACAATTGTACTTAGATCTGATGGTTTTACCCACAATTTTCACTATCAAGGTACCAAAACTATCAGTCATCATTTTATTCAAACGTCATCACATATCACACTGTCTTTTCCCACACAAGTTCTCGTTACAATAAAGGTGATGTGGGAACATCTGGTATTGCAAAATACATCAACTTTGTTTTTAACTGATACTTATTTATGCAAGCAAAAATTATTAATATATTAAACGAATAAGCCCTAATACCTTAATAGGACAAAGCTCTGAAGATCGACAAAACACAGATGCAACCATGGTCTCAATAAAGATTAAAAACAATAGTACTCAACTGATACTTAAAATAAAAGGATACTACCACACTATTTAAACATTCAACATATGTAGTTACCTCTAACAGGTTTAAACCCATAACAATAGCTAAAAAGGAAGCAGCCACAGGCAGCCCTTGTCCTATTTGCCCATATGCCTTTCCAGCAAATGCAGCTGCAATGCCCAGCAGTGCTAGCGTAGTTGCCAATCCCAGGGCAAATGCAATTGAATCCCCAACAACCTGTCCAAGACGATAGCCTAAGTGAAAACAATGAAATTTGAACTAGCACTATGCCCTAGTTGGTTGTCAGGTGGAAAATGCAGAACCCTGCAAAGCTTTGTTCATAGAAACTGCAATTTCTACTTTCTATTACTCCTTTCACATTAAATATCGCACCTTTTGGTTGGATATGGAGTATAAGAATTAAGATATTAGTTTGATTTCTAGTAGATTGAAACTTAGTTTGATGGTGAAAACATCATGTCGAAGTTCAAACTTGATTAATATTTTTATGATTTTTTATCAGTAAAGTGTAACTTCTATGGATGACAGCCAGCAAAAAGCAATGATCTGAGAGAGTTACAACCAAAAGTAACGTGCCATTACTAAATTCTGTACTGAGCTAAGGAAGTCAACCATGGCATCAGAGTCCGTGAAATTTACAGTAGCCATGTTACGCCAAATACTAAGCAAATAAACAATAACGTTAAATTTGATTAGTTAAGAGAATTTGAAATCTAGAATCATGTCGAACTTTTTCTATAAGTCCCAAAGTGGAAATTGAGACAGATGATTATTGTAGAGAAAATCATACACATGCCGTCCATCAAGACATATAAGCCAAATAACATTCACCCCTTAAAGGATTTACATGTAAACCTGGAAAATATTTTCTATACGGTATGTAATTTACGTTCCTTCATTGCAAATAATGCACATCAAAAGTGGAAAGGACAAAGAACAAACAGTAAAAAGTTAGATATAAAATTAAGGTTCTTACCGCTACTCTGCTTTTCCCGGAGCCAAAAGCCCCTGGACCATTTTCAAAGAACATAAAATAGTATCAGAGAGGAGAGACCTTATGATGCATATTTAGAGAGCAAAGATTCAACTTCCAAGTCCTACCAATATAACCAAGGGTCAGAGGCAGCACACTGAGTGTACAAGGTGAAAGACTAGTTACAAGCCCTGCACCAAAAATAGTGGCCAAACTGCAAAGAGAAAAGTCTAAGAATCAGAAGTACTAAAACCTTTGTTAATACATTCTATCAGTACCAGACACAATATAAATGATACAAAATTTAGACCTGGTGAAACTAAGAGCAGTCAACTGGCCCTGAACAGCTTCATTAGCTTGTTGACCAGCAGAATACAGAAGGCCACCAAAAATATCTCCAACGCTTCCATCAGCTAAAGTATAGACAGCACTAGAAAAATCCTGAAGAAAATGACAGTCCCCTTAGCATATAATCCAGTGAAGATTTACCGGAGTGTTATGTGACAACACATTCCACTAGCAAATGAATACCAGCTTATATTGCAAAGAACCACAGAAAAATGTCCATCAAATTCAACTAGGCATAACAAAGATACAACTCAATTGGGCCCACAGTACAGAGTACAAGTGGCTTTATACATTTAGCTCGATCAGTGGGTCAAGCTGCAGTCCAAAGTTTATCTAGTTCATCAGTTCCCTCAAATTGTTGAGGTTTGAACAAGGGTCTCATATCTTATGTAACCAGGCATCTAAATTAATGTGTCATCATTAACACTGGTATATAAAAGATTAAAATTTCCACATGTATTGTTAAGTACAAATCTCCCATTAAGCCAGAAAATAGACATACAAAATGCTGCAGAAAGTACAACAAATTTAGCTTCTCGGAAAAAAAGAATCAGGAGAAAGTCTTCTATGAACTTCTTTACTCTAGATTGTTGATGTTATTTCAGTCACTGTTATTTTCATAAAAACAAGTAAACAGAACAGAGTACTAAGGAAAGAATCATTTCTTAAATTCAGACGAAATAGGTCAGGAAAAAAGACACGCATCCACATAATTAGTACATGGACTGTAAATTTGAGACTCGTGGGAACAGAAAAGAAGAAAGAAAAGGTAACATGGATCAAACAGATGTTGGATGGGTCATCTTATGTTATCATGTGCTACGATGGTTTTAAAGCCCAATAGCCCAGGGATATATGCAACAGAAAACACTCCCCCCTGGTTAGAAGAGACAACAGGCACCAAGTAACAAAGTAAGACACTTAAGGTTGACAAGGAAGAATCCTCACCATCATGTTCTCCATCGTCACAGCATCTGCAGCATGTGTTGTAACCAAATTTGCTGCTAAATGTGAAGACCGAAATAATTAATATTGTCTTGTTGCAAAGCATGAAGTAATATGAAAATATGCACAAGCCTTCACAAACAGAAAAGAAGAAGTCCAAACCATTGGAAAAGCCAATACGAAATGTAAGCTACAGTTACTCAATGATTTTAATACAGATGTCACAACTCAAGTCCACAAACATTCTGAAAAAAACACATGAAACAGCTCATATGATACATGATCAGTAAAGAAACAGAAATAATGATTCCCTCTACAGGGCTCAGCAAGTTACGGTGAAAAATCATCAGCAGTTCTGAGTAAAATCAGTATACTCAAGTGAGTCCAGCTTCCCTTAATGTCATTCAGATGCCCATGTAAGTGAGGGGATTTGATTTTGATGAAGAAAATCACTGGAACAAAATCACAGTATAAGAGTAATTTTATGCTACAACCTTTGACTTGGTCAGCCATTTATTACTCCACTGCCAAAGCAGTTCAGAACATGTTTTGGATTGAATGGATCCTGATTCCTCTTCAAAAGAATTGCCTTTGTTATCATGTTATGGTTTAGTGGGAGAAAACGAGCAGTGGGGCATTGAGCAATATGGCATGGTTTGCTCCCTTAGCACTTAGTGGAAAATTTAGAAGTTAAGGAAATGCAGGGTTTCTAGGGGATGAAGAAGTCTTGCCAAGACAATCTTTTAAGCTTCTGTTTAGAAATGATTGGTTGCTCGTTTTAATGAGCCATATTTTAGAGTAAGATTTTTTCTGCGTATATAGCTTCTATCTTTGGTTGCTCTTTGTGGTCACGGGCGGAGCTTGCTTGAATGAACGGAGTTCAATTGAATCCCCATCGTCAAAAATTTACACTGTGCAAATAGGGCAGAAACTAGCTTTTGGTTATAAATAAGCTGTTGAATCCCCTTATGTCAAGGGAAAGTTCTAATAAAGTGGCAAGGGGGTTCAAATCCCAGGTCTGACATTTTGGAATCCCCTTGTATAAATTTCTGGCTCCGCCAATGTTTATGCAGTCAAGTCTCAAATTGTGGACAACTGGACATGTTATTACTGCTGAGCACATCAACAGCATATATATGATTTTCCCTAGCAAATAAACTAGAATGCTAAAACAATATACCTCTCCCTAGTAAAAACTTTTCATGATTACCGAGATTGTCTAAGGAGAATACCTAAGACAGCACTGGTGAACATTGTGCATCTAATTGGAACACTGGTGCAAGCCTTTGATAAAGAAAAAACATCTTCACATAGATCCTTCGGTATTTCTTTGCTCGATGAGATGCTTCTGCTGAGCATTTTCCTTTGCTCCACATTGCAATGCGCACCTAGAAGAATGAACAGAGAAAAGTAGAATTCCGCAGTTTTAGATAACAATCTAATACAGAAATCACATGATTAAATAGAAAGTTTAATACAGTAAATAATCAGAAAGCAGACACTATATCCAATTGGACCAAAATACATGTGTCAAAACTTCTAACGAAGCACTAGAATTCAAATTTGTACCAAAAGAAACAAATAACTGAATTGGCCGAGCTATTGACCTCAAGAGTAATCAGATTAAAAAAATTTATAAAAAAAAAAGGAAGAAGAAAAAATTAAGGATACATAAGATAGCAGGCAAGGTTTGAAGAGGAATTACTTGCCCTGAATTCTTCGTGGAAGATGCTTCAAGCTTGAGATAGTGATAGCAAGCTGGAGCGCCATGAGAGAGAGGTAGAAGACTAGCAATGAGCTTGTTCTGTTGATTGAACCGTTGATATTTTTTCATTTTTCTCTCTAGTTCATTTAAAGAAAAATTACACATACCTCCTGTAAAGTTTCAACTTATTGTATACACTCCTTAAAGTTTCATATATTACACAGATCACTATCCTTTCATATCTTGTTAAAGTCTACAACTATGTATAAGACAACTTTGGAGTCTGTTCTTGCGTGTTAAACTTATTTGAAAAATTGTTCAAATTTGTCCATGTATTATTTGAAATCGCTCACTTTTGCTCCAACTAGAAATTGGTTGACTTCATGTATCCAAATTTTTCGATAGAAAGGATCCAAATTTAGCCTTAAACTTTTATTATTGTTTAGAGTTACCCTTGTATTGGAACTTTTCCTAACGATTTACAATTCATTCCTCTATTATAAAATATTTGCCTTAACAAGTTAATATATTATTGGATCAAGCACATGCTACACATGTTAGTTTCCAATGATATGACATTTCATTCAATTCTAGTAGTATTTGCACGCTATCGTTGTTTAACTCGAAAATGCAAAAACATTGACAAGCTTAGGCTAAAGAACACTATATAACTTTTACATTGACAAGCCCTTAGAGTGAACATTAATAAACAAAATCATCACTCTTCCATAACTAATCAGACAAAAGAATCATCCATTCATTCATATAATTTTTTGGCATGTTGAGTTCTCTCAATCTTGCTTTCGTTCCTCGTGACTTTTTCCTCCAATTTCTCATTTTTTGAAATAGCCTTGGCAATGGCCTTCATTTGACGTACATTCTTTGACCTTTTCATCTGTACTCCCTTCATCTTTCTGCAATAACAAATATATGACGTGAGCGAAAAGTGAGGAATTCCAAGTGTAAATATGTCTGCACCCTAGATACACACATGCAGGCAGTGACAGAGGCAGGATTTCCGCTAAGGGGGTTCAAAAAAGAAAAGAAAAGATTAAAAAATTAAAAGAGATTGTAGCTAGTGGGAATTGGGTTCATAACCAAAGGTTTTGAACCCCTCATAACCAAAGGTTTTGAACCCTAGTGTCAAGGGGATTCAAAATATAATATAAAGAGGTAAAAAACAGATTTTGCCTTGTAAGTGTAATTTTTCGGCGAAGGGGGTTCGGGTGAACCCCCTTCCACCCCCCTAAATCCGCCTCTGCATTCAAGAAGCTTTAATTGTCACTTCTTATTTAGCTTTCGCTTCATATTATTGACAAAAAGAGGTGTTAACCTCATGAACTTCTTAACTTCTCCATCAACTCCTTGCGCTTCTTTTTGCAGCCCCTAAATAACAAGACTAGAATGCTTCATATGTTCTGTCATCAGAAAACCTGGTTTGAGGCAATGGACGGTTAGGGGTCACTTCAGACATTGGAGCTAGACCCGCATGGATACCAAGGGAGAAAGTTAGAGACTTAGAGTTGTCAGCTTCTAATACACGGCGTGAATCAGACGTTATGTAATAGCAAGTAGTATGGTGTACGTGTAGACACAAGTGAACGGTGTCCAACCACTGACTTCTAAGGTGCAGAAGCATCCTAGGATAGATGCCTTTTCCATTTACCACGTTACCTACACAGACAGGCCTAATGCAGTGTATGCATAAATAGAAACTAAAGAAAAATCACCAACTGACCGGCACACCTATAAACTATCTACCGGTTGCACTACTCAGTCAATTGGGTCAATTAGCATTTATTCACCGCCTTAAACCAAAATTAACCCACTACTATTCGCACATATATACAGCTTCAACACCGGTACCACTAAACCCCTGGTAGCCTTAACAGCAAATCCAATCAGCAAAACTCGAACACCACCTTACAACAACAAAAGGAAGGGAAAAAGAACACCAAAAAAATGTTTCTCAGAGAGATCAACATTAAGATCCTGATGACGAAGATATCTGCAGCTTATCTCCTAACAAAGTGAGCCCTTCCTACAAAGCTATGTAAATTATCACCTCCAATTAAATCAAGGATCATTGCCGAAAGAGCCACAATAGAGTCGAAGATCTTTTCCTTTTTATCCTTTCCCATGCTCATGAATTAAGATAATCTTGTCTCATAGCAAGTCAATAGAGCCATCCAAGAGCAATGACAGTCCCAATGGATAACTATCAAGGAATAACTGGGTATTGACATTTGGTACAGGTAGAAAAGAAGCATCCTAAAAACTATAAGGAGTGGCAATGACATCTGACTGCATACGTTGCTCTCCAAAAAGGTTGGTACAAGCATATGCATAGTGATGGGAGAACTTAAGTAGACTAGTTTGCATAATGCGATCTTATCCTATTAGTAATTCCTAGGAAGCACGCCAAGCTACTTCTTAAGATAATAGTATATCAGTCTTTCAAAAATTAATATGATAACAAGGGATACTGATTATAAAATATACTAGGTATTTCGGAGTCAATTCTTATGATCATACAACATAATGAAACAATGAGTAGCGCATAATCTAAGTAAAATTGCCAGCGAACAAACCCTGTTCCCAAAAAATTGCTAGTGAACAAGCATACTATTGAAATATGTTTCAACACATTACAACGTGCTTCTACACGCATGTTCATCAGATAGGAATTAGCTCATAAGGCTTCTATTTACATTTGAAAGTCAATGTTTATCAATTTTTCTGTTTACAGATAAGTGATATGTTACATCAAAAGAGGGATAGAATTCCTAAAGAATATAAAGCACTAAAGCAGCCAACTTAGCTAGATAAAAACTATTCTTTTCCCCAAACTGTCTCAAGAATAGTTCAGAATTTTATTATACATGAGAGTGTAATTACTGGAGTATGTACAAAGCACACCTTAACTCAATTTTTCTAGAGAGCACCAAGTTTGATTGCTAATCATTAAGTATTTATAACACAAATTGAACATAAACAACTGACCTATGTGATCCACCTATATGTGGTTTTGGAGCTGCTGACTCTGAAGTATCCATTTCTGAAATTAAGCAGTAGACATACAATGACTCAACAGGAATTACGGAAATTTTTGTAAGAGAATGATAAAGAAGACAGTGAAAAATTACATTAGTTAATTACCTTGGGGACCCGTGACCGTCTTGTCAGAGGAGATATCCATAGCCGCACGACCATTTTTCTTATTCTTGTTTCTGTTCTTCGCCATAGCTATGCGAACAGGGAGACCTAAGGATTTCTTCAACAGTTGTAATTGCAACGAAAGGGTTTAGGGTTCCGCAAATCGAAATAGTCTGGCTTGTCTTGTCGGATTGCCTGATGGGCCAGGAGGCTGCTCACTAGCTGGAGCTAGTCTAGTAAGATAATTTTGGAGCCCATTAGGATGTAAAATTTTGAAGAATTAACCCAAATAGCCACCCACTCAAGTCTCAACCGCTTAAATTAAAAACAGTCGGTGGAGGTATAATATATGTATAATTTATGTATTATTTATATATATATTATTAAAAAAGCATGAATACAATATCGATTTACAAAAATAACCTTATAATATTAAGCATAATAACTCATAATAAAATGACATAACCGGAATTCTAGATATTAGTCTTATAATTTTATTAGTTTTAGGACATAATACTACACATTAGAAATCCTACATGATTACCTTTAGGAATCCTATTAGTATAATTACTTTCGGGCGATCTAATTCATATAAAATGACAAGTAAATATCTTTAGTCATGTAATCCTATTACTTTTAGGATATACTTCTTAAAAATTCCTGTTACTAATTTAATTCGAAAACGTATTATTATATCCTATTACTAATTTAAATTGAGTATGTATTGTATTTTTCAAATCTATTTAGAAAAAGCAGAGCCTATTTTATTATAAAAGCATAAATACAATATTAATATACCAAAATAGCCCTAAAATATTAGGCGGAAGGACTAATAGAGAAAGACATAACTGCAAGAACCTATTTTTTGGACTACAATACCTTCTTTGATAATTTTATAATATTTAAGATTTTAGAATTAATGAAATTTCATCTATTAAATTCTTATTAAAAATATGTAGGAAGATTTAATAAAATTAATTTCATAAGAATCCTCTGTATTGGCAATACACTACCACTCCATAATGTCCAATACCAAAAAAAGATAAAAGTAATATTAAATGGACTGCATAAGAGTTGTTTGAGAAAGAAAATACCCCTACGATAATATCTTTGAATTATTTTCCTATTCAAATAATATTTTTTTTATCAATTTTTCGTGTAAAATATTGAAAAATACCCAATTATTCAACAACAACTAAGAAAATATTTAAGAATATAAATATGTGAGAAAGAAAAAAATATGGTTGGTAAGAGTCAATACCACTAATGATTCTACAAATATAAAGATCTAAAAGTGAAATGTCATATCAATCTTTTACTCTTTGTAAATATAATTTATAGTGGAGAAAATTATAACTAAGACTAAGAGATGAACTAATATTAAGATCTGAATCAACGTAGAATAAATTATTTTTTTATGTTAAAACCAAATAATTAAATTTTTTAATTAATTATTTAGCAAGAGAATCCAATTCAATTATTTTTTAAATTCATCATTTGAGTAAAATTCTTATTCAAATTTAAAATAAAACTTGGGATACGTAAAGTTATTCCATGAAAAGGGCGGTAGAACACAAAATAAAAATGTTAGTATATTATTAAGAATCAAAACGATATGCAAGTGACTAAGGAAGCACAATCAAAGCTAAATCCTAATCAAGAACAATCTTTCAACACTATATTATAAAGAGTCGCATCTGGTATAACGGAATTATTCTTTGTAGATGCCTCTGGCGGAATCGAAATAATATTTTTATGTCAAGCAGCAAAATTGATAATAGGGATGAAGTACTTATGGCAAAGTGTCAAACGATCGAAACAATTGCACAGAATTCTTATTAATGAACTGTTTGGTGGAACATTAATGGTTTGGGAGGTGATTTCTATCAAGTACTACTAGTAGTTCCGACAAAAGTAGAGACTATAAAAACTATTTTGCCAAAGTTATACTTCTGGCCTCAAACGAAAAAGATTCAACTGACAAGAAATATAAAGTAAAAACAGATCTAGTATTATGTTTTCTTGCTTCGTGTCAAAAACGAAGACGAGCATCCAATAAAAGATGATTTGATTTTTCCTGAACACTTGGTTATCAATCCCAATCGTAATAGCAGTGCATTTAATAAGAGAAATATTTCTATCATTAGATTAAAACGCAATTTGTGCAAATCGCATGATAGAATTAAAAAGATATCTTAGCTAGTAAAAATGAATATGTTGATTAACTAAATAAAAGATTGATTGCAAGATTTTATAATAAAAATAAAATATTTTTCAATTTTTGACTCAGTAGAAAATGATACCAATAATTACTACCAAGAAGAATACTTAAATACTTTAATACCAAATGGCCTTCTACCATACATGTTTGTTGTCGAGTATATTATTTCTTATGTACTATAGTGTCACAATATATATATATATATATATATATATATATAGACTAAGTTAAAATCGATCTTACATTGTGTATAGATTAATTTTAGAAAAAAATATGTCTGTCATTAGTTGTGCGAGACCTCTTTTTTGTCTCACAACTGTGTGGGTCCCAGAATTTTGTGGATCCAGATGTGTAAGATATGGGTCCACAAATATGTGAGATAAAAAGAGGTCTCAGACAACTAACGTCAGCTGTGTGCGGCACAAAATAAAATTGGGAGAAATTAAAAAATAGCCAGATTTACCACTGGTCGTTGAAAAATAGCCAAGTTTCAAAAGTCATCGAAATTTAGCCACTTTAAATCTGAGCGAAAACACTGTTCAAAATTCGGAAAAATACGCCCGCAAATTTTACGGGAGTTCCAGCATAAGTATGCTTGAACTCCCGTAAATTTTACGGGAGTTCCAGGATAACTATGCTGGAACTCCCGCAAATTTTACGGGAGTTCAAGCATAATTATGCTGGAACTCCCGCAATTTACGAGAGTTCCAGCAAGTATAATTGTCCAGTATAATATACTGGAGTTTGGAGCACTGGTGCTCCAGTCTCCCGCAAATTTTACAGGAGTTAGCAAAGTATACCGGTCCAGCATAATATGCTGGGGTTCGTACACAAATGCACCAGAACTCCTGTATATTATACTGGACCGGTCCCTGTTGCAGCAAAATAGTGGCTATTTTTTATTGACTTGATAAACGCTGGCTATTTTTCATTGACCAGTGTAAAAACTGGCTATACCATGATATTTTAACAATAAAATTACTCCCAAACACCCTCTAAAGAAGAGAATAATTCGTAGTTGTGGCATAGGGTATGAAAGTGCACTTCTCTTTTGGGTTTTCAAAAAAAAAAAAAAATATATATATATATATATATATATATATATATATATATATATATATATATAACAACTGTTATTAATTGTATTACTTTAAGTAGATTTTGTTTTAACAACAATTACCTCTGGACTTCTATCTTTGCTAATTGCTTAAAGTTATGTCTATTCAAGTGCGAATAATGTATGCACATCAGTATATGTTTATTTGTCGAATCATGTACAAGTTCCTCATCAAATATTTTTATTTTGTCATTTCAGCTTAGTGATGTGCATGGTGAACCTACTTCACTTATGGATGTACGAGGATTGATGGCAGCAGTATGAATAACCAAGCAAATATGTACTTTTTCATATTATTTATTGTGGAACCACTTTATATAAATTTTGATATGTTTGAATTATACTACATGAATTTGTTGTCACGATTCGAATCTTCCACCGTCGGGACTGTGATGGCACCTAACATTGTACTCGCTAGGCAAGCCAACTTTATAGAATATTCCACCTTTTTCCTTTATCTTTTAATAATTAAAACTAACCAAAGTAAATCAGCGGTAAATGCGGAAGAACACAGTTTAAAGGATTATCTTTATGCTAATAACGAAAACCGAAATAAATTCCAACCAGAAACTGCTGTCACAACTCACGAACAGTCTATGAATACTACAATCATTGGTTTGAAAGAAAAATATACATATGTCTCGGAGAAAAGTAAAACAGAATGCAGAAGATATAAGGGGACGCCAGGGCCTGCAGACGCCTGCAGGACTACCTTGGGTCTCCTGAATGCAGTGATAGCAACCAACCTCTCGATCAGCCACTAGCTCTGAAATCTGCACAAAAAGTGTAGAGTGCAGTATCAGTACAACCGACCCCATGTACTAGTAAGTGCCGAGCCTAACTTCGACGAAGTAGTGACGAGGCTACGGCGGGGCATAGCAATATATATATATATATATATATATATNATTTTGTTGACTGAGTTAGGGCGAGGGCCTATATTGTGAGGATACTTTTGGATCGGGCTGCATGCCGTAGCAATATATATATATATATATATATATATATATATATATAACATGCAACAGTTTATATTAAACAGAAAGGAAGTACAGAATAAAACATAACCGGAACTTGCATTAAATAAATACGGAACCCAGTCATTCTACTAGTATTCAGCTATAACCAATCCTTAAGGGTGTTTCAACATCACAGTAATGAACCTCAACAGAAATGAATACATAACAACCAATAACAGTATCAATATTCACCCTTATTGCTCCTTGTTGCGGCGTGCAACCCGATCCCACCAGTCCACCTTTATTACTCCTCAATATATCACCTTATTCCTCCTGTTGCGGCGCGCAACCCGATCCCGCCTGTCCACCCTTTGTTGGCCCAAGTTCAGGTAAAATTTTGAAGAATGACAAATGAACTCAGTCATGGACCAGGTCCATCATGTGAGGCACAATATTTATCAACCTATACATGTGAGATGCACGTGAAGGAGATAAGTCTCAGTGATCAAGCAGCAATATCTCCTGAACTGATCGAAAAGGTTGCATATTGGATAAGGAGTGAAAGTCTCCTTATGAGAAGAGAACTCAATCCGGATAAAGGATAGGGTTGGAGTTTGTGTTGTTCAAGGACTCAACTTCGATGGAAGATCAGCAATTAAGTCTTAATCAAACTCTAATACTAACTCATTAAATAACAGTGATTGTTCTCTTTTACAGGTATGCACAAATGCAGAAGTTAAAGTAAATTGAGAGCAAAAGAGCGAGGCAATTTTGCAAGCAATTTATGTGAGATTCAAGTGTGCATTCCTGAAGCTACTTAGACAAGATAGAAGAACCAATTCCATTGTGTCTTTCTTTTATTATAGTTCAATTGTAGTAGGTGATTTAAATTTGTACCTTTCAGCTTTTATAGAAGCACTTG